TCTATAGTTCATGGAAACCGACAGGTCTCAGGCTCAGGTGGCCCACATGGGCCAATCTGCGCAGGGAGGAAGGTGAAGAGACAGAGAGAAGGCTGGTCTCTGTTCATTTTGCTCTTATTCAAAAGGCTGTGACATCCAGGAGGTGTCATCAGGCTGCAACTTGATTTGACTCCACACCTAACCGGAAGTGTCTAGTTGACGTAATCCATAACCACCACACGTACCCAGCCCTCTAGCCTTTATCCTCTTCTGACACCAACCACCCCTTTCTCTCTACTTCTCTGCTGGGTTTAATATTGCAATGACCATACAGAATTCAGACAATACCCATGACTATAGGGCTTATTAAGAAGTTAACAGGTTATAAAATGTTAGGATCTAGTTCTTTGTCTTCAGTGCCTCTTCTCAGCCTCATTGGCAGGCATGTCTTTCTATGGTTCTCAGACTCCCAGCCATGGGTTCTCTTGGCCTCTCCTTATTCTGTGGGCCCAGAAGCCCATGGAACCAGCTCAGCCTCCTCGTCTCAGTGCAGCTCGTATCCTCGGTGCCCTGGTTTCAGTGTGGTTCCTGTGCTCTGTCCCATGATCTCAGAGCCGCGGCCTCTGCCACTCCAGACAGGGATCTCACACACATTCAAACAGTGGCTCTTCAACAGATTCCAAACTCTGAAAGATAAAAATGTCCAACCAAGAATCCTATATCCAGCAAAGTTATTCACCAAATATAGAGAAATGAAAGTATTCTCAACCAAGGAAATTTTTAGAGAATTTGCACAAAAACAAAACCAGCCTTACAAAAAATATTAACCAGAGCTCCATGGCCAGAAAGTCAGCAACTACAGCACACAGACATGAGACCACCACAGAGTGCAAACCCACCCCCCCCACCCCCGCCACCAAGTCAGCAGACTGAAAACTTAAAACAATACAGATCTAGAGAGGAATGAAGACATGAACAACCTCTCCCCACCTCCCAAAGCAGGGAAGGAAAGTACCGAACACAAATAATACAGGATGACAGCAACTACTCTTCATTTAGAATTAATAACACTGAGTGCCAATGTACTAATGCCCCAATCAAAAGACTACAGTAGCAAATGGGAGTAGGAAACAAGATCCATCGACCTTCTGCTTTCAAGAGACACACTTCCAACTTACAGTCAAAAACAGACTGAGCCTAATTTTTGAAGACGGCACCATAAGCAAGTAAGGAAGCCTCTGCCCCTCCCAAAACAGAAGCCAAAGCAAAAGTGTTACAGGCCAAGAAGGCCATGCTGCAAGATGTTCACAGCCACAAAAAATAAAGAAGATCCACATGCCACCCACCTTCTGGTCACCCAAGATCCTGGGGCTAAGAAATCAGTCCAAATACTCAAAAGAGCACCCCCAAGAGAAACAAGCTTGACCACTATGCCATCATCAAGTCCCCCCAACCACAGAGTCCGCCATGAACAATGAAGATAACAACACACTTGTGTTCACTGTGGACAGCAAGGCCAACAAGCACCAGAACAAACAGGCTTCCACCTGGCTCGTGATTGTGATGCTTTTAGATCAGCGGTTCTCAACCTATGGGTCACGACCACTTTGGAGGTTGAGTGA